TTGGATACCTCTGTGACCTACTACTGTACAGACCCACTGCAACATGGAATCTTTTTGTTTTACAAAATAAAGAAGAAAAATTTTGTTGATGGTGATGTCATCTTCACATCTGTCTCCCACTAGATCATAGGCAATAACCAATCACGATGCACTTATAAAATATACAAAAGCCTTCCTTTGGCTTGCAAATATGTACAGATATTTGTCTACAGACATTATCTGTTTCCAAAAGTGATCAGTTTTTCCAAGGGAACACCATGAACTACTGTATATGAGATTGATGAAAGAGTACATTACTAATCATAACCTTTAGGAAATGAAGTTTTGATGTACAAGGAACATATAAGATATCCCAGTTTAAGTTTAAGGATCTGGATAATAAAATGGACGCAATCTACATAAATGTATCACAGCTAAATTTTAATCTCATATCTGAAACAATATTCTATGTGTACCTTGGTTGATCCTTACTCTCCTTATTAAACCCTGACTCTAATCATTCATTTTCTGGGCTAACACAAAGGAAATTTGGATTCAGCCAAGGAAGAAATTTTCCTTCACTGAGATAAAAATGTCACTGTATCATAAAATGTGTATGTCTACATTTCAACACCATGAAGTTCCTCATAAAAGTAAAATACATTTACAACTAAAAACCTTACCTTCATCATAACCCTTGTAGAAGCCTTCTAAATCTACAGTTAATTCTTTCTCAGGGTAATTTTCTGCGACTGAATAAGCATGAAAGTCTTCCGCAAAGAGCTCACTGTGAGGAGTCAAATGAAGTCTAAAATGCCTGAAAGATACACAGAATAGAAAATAAGATGCAAGCAAAATTGTCCAACATAATCCTTATTGAGCCATCATGGTGTCAATTTCTATCTACTATACTGTTCATCAAAATTGTTTAATTGTTTTTAATTGTTTGCATTTCCTTTTATTTATTCAAATAAACAAATTTCCCTAGACAACTTTGTCAAAGGTGTAAATTTTCATCAACAATTTGTGATAAACCAGCACTCAAACTAAACCTGTGTGCCTGCTACAAGTTGTAAAAGACTTAGTTCATGCTTTTAATTGTACTTACATGTACATAGTTATCAGGCTACAAAAGAACTTGGAAGTTTGGAGAGCACACAAGAAGCTACTAAAAGCTATTCTCCACTACACTGCAAGTAACTCTTCAAATTTGCAGAGTTCAAGCCTTTCCCCACCTAACATCAGAAGGTATATTCTCCATTCTGTTCTCTATACATATCCTAAGGTGCTGACAAGGAGAATTTGGATAACAATTAAGAGCTTCTTTTATTGCTGATGATTTTCTTTATTCTCGCAACCCTAATGTGTGATTCAGGAATGATATCATAGGAAGAAACAAGATGCTGGTCACTGTTAGGGTTTTAAGGGTTAAAAGACAAATTTACACCAAGTCTACTTGTAAGTGCAACACTGTTCGGGAAAAGGGGTTTTAAAGTTGAATAAGAATTTGTTACATTTAAAAAGACTCTGTAAGTGAGTATTATCATCCTCAACAAACCCAGTCCTATTACCACTCACTGTATATGTAGGTTAACATGGTACAGGCCATGCTTTATTTTTCCCAAGGTGTCACTTAATGATTGTGATCCTCAGAATAAGTAAGTAAGTAAGTAAGTAAGTAACTTTATTCCAGCTTGGGTTGATTCAGCTGATTAGGCGTCTAACAGAACATGCTAATATTCCTAGAAAAGTTTAAGAAAATTACAAAAAAACAATGCTATGAAAAAAATCTGTACCTGTTTAATGTTGTAAAAGAAAGTATCTTTTCTTTGTTGTTGACATCTCTCTTGTGAATGTCATGAAAAATATCACCCGTATGTAAAGTTTCATAATGTCTTACCACATCTCTAATCTCACCTGAAAATGAAAAAGCACCATCATAAATACTCATGCATGTTTTATGGCTGCATTTATAACAAATTGACTCAAACTGAATCTGATATAATTATGCAACATTTTTCAATAGACATATTATAAATGTGCAAGGTGCATATAAGAATCTTAGTCATTTGTTCCAAAAAAGCCTCATTAGATGCTATCACAAGCATATTTCAGATTGTAGTGGTGTAAGCCCATATTAAGGCTCCACATAGCTACAGGTTGGTTTGATTTCAAACCATCACCTAAATTTTTTTTCTGCATTGTTTCCTTTTTATATCCAAAATGGACATCACTTTATCCAATTGATCAGTCATTCTTTTATTCTCTCAAACAAAGGTGTATAGTCTACAACCAATATTTTCAATCCTTTCTATTGCTAAAACAACTTCCTCTTCATGAATTCATAACTTATATCAGCTTATGAGAAAGTATGTAGTGCTTGTGACCAATGTATTTCAATGAAATTTTTTGCGTTATTTCGTATATTTCATCCGTACAGACATTGCTAAAAACTCTAGGCCCATGGTTTATCAGCTTATCAACGATAACATCTCGATAGCGCAGTGAGAACATGCGTTAGTGACATCATTACTTGATGTGCTCAATATCTGGTCTTGTCGAGTGGTAATAATGGGATGGAATGAACATAAACAATGAGAGTTCTTTTAAGCAGCAATGGCCATAAACCGTTGAAACCAGTAGATCCCATCCTCTTTTAGAGACATTTATTATTCCTTTGATTGCTTTTTCTCATCATGTAATCCTAAAACGTATCAAGAAATCCTGAACATCGAGGAAATCAACTGTCACTGCCGGCCTCAGCCAATATCGTTCAAAAGACTGAAACACAAAGCAGTGAAGTTTTTCCTTTGCTCTTCTGTAAGAGGTTGATAACCAAAGTGATGTGTTAAATGTTACCCAGAGGCGAAAACAAATAAACTCTTGTTTGATGTAACACTCGGCCTCACACCCATACCTGTACAGTCATGTCAGTATGGTGTTTGCAGCATACTACCATAATCTACTAACTTCTGTTAACATTGTCAACCGTCAACTTACCCGCGTTAACCTCAAAGATACTGTTGAGGGCTAAACTGAAAAGTAAGGCCAAGTGATAACACAACACTCCCATTGTAAAGATAAAGAACAAAAAATCAAAATGTTTCCTCAGTTTCAGTTCACATCGCCATTCGTCAATCGCTTTAAATACGTCGTGTATGGCTGCACAAACTATGCCGACCGCGCAGACAATGGATTAAAAAAAAACATCTTTTACAAGCGTTAGTTTGTTTGTTTTTTGTTAATTCAAAGAATTGGTTGAGAATTATCAAATCTCAAATCAATGAAACCTTTAACTCCCAAAAGTGACCAATAATAGCCTCATAATATCAAAACAATTTTAAGCAGACAAGTAATGAGAATAAAGAAAAATTTCAATAAGTTTATTAGCTGATGCAATACGAAATTCTCTAAAGTAACATCATAGGAATGGTATAACAGACAGTAAGAAGAATTATCACTGAGATATTGGGAATGATAGGGTAAATACATTATTTCCTACCCAGTTTTTGCTCGCCCCAGGCTTGTCTCCGCTCTCTCGAAACGGATCCGGAGGCTGAGAGACGGTCTGTAGGAGAAGAGAAAGCTTCCTCCCCTAAAGAATTACTGCAGGACAATTAGCATGAAAGCAAATAAACTAATTTACTTCCTTGATACTGCTCCAGTTTTCCTGGGAGCGAGTTCATTCGTTTTCCTCGCTCGGCTCCTATGCTTACCGGTTGTCCACTAATTCATATCTGACGGTGGAGAATATTTTCATGTTCATGTTGGATAGTTTCTCAAAGTTTCCACGCCAAGTGAATTGTCAGTGAAAAGGCGCTCGGTGCTTACATTAGAGTAACGCTCCACAAATAATAGATTGTCCTGCGCTTGGGCTGATAGAAATCCTAAGTAAATCGGCCGACGACAAGCGGAAAAAATTAATAGGTAATTGATAATACTTAATGGACCTTTTCCACTAGCGTTTTGGCGCTTACGTTTGGCCGTTACGTTCAGCGGGCCTGGGAAAGAGAATGACTATGAAACCCACAGTCGAACAGAAATAGACAACCACATTTTATTGGCTACCTGATATGACTGACGTATGAAGTGTGTTGGAAAAAACTCAAAGGACGGAAAGTGATGGTTAAAATTATTTTCGAAACAGGGCACTAAAGGCTACAGGTTGTGGTAAGTACTGTCTGTGAAAACACCTGATTCACATCCATCATGACTGATTTGCCTTAACATAGACCAAGGAAATCGTTTTGGCTTGGAGCATCGGCTTTTAAAACTGCTTCAAGCCTCATTTTGTATGATGTGATTAATGACTCGTTGGAAGAGAATTCTGATATGTGCGAAAAAAAAATTAAAAGAAATTCATAAGCGGCAAAGTCGGTTTAACGCTTTTAACTTCACCCAGATCTACCAAAAGTTGACTAAATTCAACAAATTAAGTGGTATTTTAACCGACACTGGACATAATGATTTCTTTCAAACTGCCTTCTTTGAAGATTAAATTCCGACATCCTCTGAGAAAGCCGGAAGGCTATCTACCAACGCACCAATCTCGCGCAGAATTCCAACCGTTATGAGAAAAATATGAATTCCAAATGTCCATTACAAAAGCTTAAATGAGATTCGTTTTGTTCCTTCCACCGAAGGAAAGATAAGGAGTGACGGATATTTGTAATCCTACATTTGAAGTGCCATCCTGATGCACGTAAATGTATTTCGGTTTCGTACGTCTAACTTTTTTTACCGATGATGGATGTGAGCATGCAAAAATGAAACAATTCACTTTGTTTGCAGGTAACAGCCGGTCTCAGTATATACTTTGTTTAGCGAGAACCGTTGGATTTTTAACCAGAAATCACTATCGAAACTTGATACAGTGCTCAATTGGAGCTTCTGTCTTGAAACGGTGAGTTATTGTGCTCGATGACTATCTCTTCATGAGCTGTTCATTTTCCAGTAAGTGCGATTTGCGTCATCAAAGACAAAGTTAGTAAATAAGAGGAACGGCTAGATTGATCAGTGTTGTACCCTTTAAAAGACAACATTGCTATCTTCGTTTATCTCTTAAGGGTGTTTATCCAAATAAGACGGAGATACTGTAACAATCACGTGATATTCCTGAACATTCCACTTTTCAAGTCAGGTAGCGGACAGAGGACCTTTTATTATAGAATAGTTGATATATGCAACTCGCTGTATAGTTCTCTTAAAACGAAACTTCCTCCAAAGAACGATTGATTTTTTCCTTCTGATGTCAGGTACTCCTTATTACTCGGAATTTTCCGGAAGTTTCACTTTCCAATAGCAATGGATAATTGCGGTGGGTATATTTTTTTCATGGGGGAGGGGGCGGGAGGAGTTTTATAGTAGCATCTAACAAGGATTTAGGAGCAAACCTTGATGTTTCATTATCATTACTGCTCACAAGCAACAGGAGATCCTTTTGGTTACCCTCCTGAGTAGTCTGAGTAGGTGAAGCTGTTGTTACTAATTTTTGATAACTTTAAGGAAAAATGAGAACTGTGATCAAATATTTTTAACAAAAACAATGAAAAGGGGAAGATAAAAATTGCAATTTCAAATTTAAAACTGAAGAGATTTTCTACAAACAATCCTTGTATAAGTTTTTTCTATTTCTCCTTTTTTTCCAAACTAGGAAGAAACAGGGTCAAGATGGACAGCAAAGAAAAAGCTTTATTAGCTATCTTCATAGGTATACTGATCGCGGGGTTCCTTAAAAACACTGGTTGCGTGTTACAAGCCATCGAGGTGTACGAGGAATGTTTGATTATATTACACAGTCAGGTGTTGTCTATCGATAGTTTATTGGCAAACACTATGTTCCGTACCATCTACTTGGCATTAACCTGTGCTTACGGTAATATAAAGGACTACACAAGTACAGAAAAATACTTAAGGAAACTTCTGCCATACCTAGACTCCAATGACACCGCTGAAAAAGGATGGCTACATCTTAAACTGGCAGATATACTTCGAATTCAAAATAGGTTAATGGAGGCCTGGAAATTTTACGAATCAGCGATCAACCTCATGAAAACGATTCGAAACACACAAGGCCAGGCACGGTGTTACAAAAACCTCGGAACAATGTTCCAATCTCTTCGTCAATATGACAAGGCCCGAGAATATCAGGAGAAAGCACTTGCTATCAGTATGGAAATTGGCGACAGGGATGGAGAAGCAAAAAGCTACGGAAACCTAGGAACTTTG